CCGATGGACCAGTGGACTTCACCGATCGTCACACCGCAACGCAGTCTTGGTTCTGTTACCACAAATGTGAAGATCTGTGAACAGCCTCGCGTGTTTAGCTCGAAAGAAGTGTCACTGAATCAGAGAGATTCCGAATGTTTTTGTGCCCGATCAGTCAATACTAATTCCCAAGGTCTGGACGCAAATGTGATGCACTCAGCTAATTGTCGCAAGTTTCTCTGGTCATGCGCAAAACCAATCTGTCAATTGCACAACGCGATGGAGGTGTTCAAAAAGTCCGCCAGCAAGCGGGCTTAACTAACTGCAAACCTTAAACTTTAGCAATGAGAATGCGTGAATTAGTATATCTTGTGCATACGAGCAACTTATTTTATACTAACGAAGACATTGTTAGTTGAAGGTTTCTGATTAAATTATCGAGCATCTGAATTAGTTAATTCAGATGGAGTGGCAAGCATGATTCGTGTCTATATCGGTCACAGTACTCGCGAAAGAGAGAAAAAAACAGCGAGATCGTGTACTTGTGATTTACAAATGCTTTCCGCTCGTCTGTTTGTCCATGAATAGTCGGATTACTATTGCTTAAAAATTCAACGTGCACAAATGAAATCAATGGCTTGCACAGAATTGCGCATTTCTGTGCGTGCTGTTCAATGGACAAATCATATTCGTGATCTTTGACTGGCTAACTGACCAGTTCTCCTGTAAACGGCGTAAAACGCTCAATGTGTGATTGAGCCGAACATATTAATAATAAAATATAATATATGCCGTTATATTGGTTTTATCAAAAAATACTTTGGAGGGTTGAATACTAAATGGATTCACTAATTATTAAATAATTCATAGTTGGTTGCAAGGATGCCGAGACTCTTCGTCGATACCAACGCGCTTTGCCCGGCTATGTGGATGTATACCTATCCTATCGCTCATAATAAGCCAAATGAAAAAACCTACTCAGGTCACTTTCGTATTATTAAATTGCCTTGTTTCGATTGTGAGGTAGTTATGGTTAATTCAAGAACTTCGATTTTGCCCATATTTGACTGATACAATGCCCTGTGGTCCGCGATCACATTGGTTGATTTCTTTCAATGAGCTGCCGCGAATTTTCAGGAAACAACAGGGTCCCTGTTTGGTCTTAGAGCCAAACCGGGATGTTTGCACGGCTATGTGTCGGCATTAGGTAGATACGTTGCACTCGTTATCTCTGCCGGATAACTGAAAAGTCTATCAATTGGATCTCTCGAATCGTGGCAAATAAACAGGACCAAGAACGTTGAGCGGAAGCACTAGATGGATGCCTCCTATACCTCCAAATGAGATAACAGAACTGTGGGCAATTATATTGTATTCTAACGGGTGTTTTAGTGTCCAAATAATGGTGCATATAGATAGGGCCAGGAGCATGAGACTCCAACTCTGAGACAAAAACCAAAGGTGCATCTGGGCTTTGTTGCAGTCATGGATAAGTAGGCGGCCGAAATGCGGGCTTGTATGATGATATCAGAACAAATTTAAACTGGACGTTGCCACTAAGTTTATGTGAATATATCAAGAGTAGGGGCGATGATGGCTAATGTGCCCGAATTATTTATGATACTGTACTTCGGGTTTGTATATAAACACGAACATTAACGTGCTCACTAGAGGTCTCGATTAGTGCGCGATCCATATGGAGTACAGCTTTTCCATTCACCTGTAACCTCCGAAGGCCTCAGTATTGTCGGGGGTGGGTGTCTTGGGTTGTGACTAGTCACCTTTCCCTTGCACCTTGCGAAATGCTCCTATACGACCGAACGTCTCAGCTTATGACGCGAAAGCCCTATTCACTGCCTTCTCGTGGCGAAGTTTTCCCACCCAACTGAGATGACCAAAATCCACTATCCGGGGATATAACATAGTCCGTGAATCACTGGCGGCTCTCCTAGGGGAGTTGGCGAAAAATCCTGATTCCAAAGCCGAACAAGACAGAAATAATAATAATGACGGGATGGGTGGATTGGGATATAGTGCCAGACTTTAGAGAACAGAGTCACCACTATCTTTATATAGAGCTGGGTGAAGGCGCTTTGTGACGTCCCAAGGCTTGGATCTGCTTACGGCTTTTGGCCACAGAAGGCGAGTCTCTTAAGGTAGACCATGGGACGTGTGCCGAAATAGCTGTGTGAGAAGCTGACGCTGGTGGCCAGCCAAATTGTGCTCTTCCCCGCGTGCAAGGCGTTGCTGTTGATTAGGAATGGGCGAACCTTCGGCTTCGCAAATCGTTTCGTTCACACCCAAGGCTTTCCTACCGGTGACCCGGATGAGGTAGAACAGCTTACGGGAATTACCCATGGCAGTAGCACGGTCCATCTCTGACAGGAGTTGAGTCCACCGTATCTCGCGGTCTCTGCGTAGGTTTGCATTAAGTTCACGTCTCTTTACGAGCCGTGTTTCATTATGCTCGCTTCCGGTCGGAATTGACCGAAGTGCGTCGAGACTCCGAAGAGATCCAGGGTGTCACGGCGCGACGTGTCCGGCCACAACTAACTAAGCCAGCGAAACGCAGAGCATTATTGATAAGCGACCACTGGTGATCGGTGTTATCGGGTGGGGGTGGTTCTAGCTTTTCAGTTCTCGTTTTTAAAGGCAATCAGACAAGCTAGTTTGAACAGTTTATCATAGTCTCACCTTTGTTTTGTCATGCATTTGGAAAGCCTACCGAAGCACGTGGACAGCTTGGCGCTAACCAACGCGTGGTCGGATTCGAGGGTAGTGCACCTGTATGATCGGCAGTCTTGTATGCTGCCTCGCTTAGTGCGCCTGTATGATCCGCAGTCGATCTGTGTCCGTGGCTGACTCAAGGAGGGCGGAAGCCAATCGGCGTACCGGCAGTTGGATCGTCTGAATTTCGTACTGGCGAGGAACAGGTGGTGTTCCGAACATAAAGCCAACAGCCATTCCCTGTTTTTCGAGCGATAGGAATCTAGCGCGAAAGTACTACAGATGCGCCTCACTGAAGTTCAGACGGTTTAATCTAGTGTCCATTTTAACACTTAAAATGTTGATCCAAACTCCTATAGTCTATGGTCAAGCTACTACTTGAATGCCGTATTCTTTCAACTTAGCATCTACTCCCTCACCTACAAACGTGTTAGGGTATAGAACGACACCACGACGAGGTTTTTATTCAGTGTTTCTTCTGTTGACTTACCGTTTTCCCTCCAATAATGTATTCTTCCAATCGTTCGATATGCCACCTTAACGTGAAATTGTTCTAAGCAATTATCCGCAGAGATGTGCTTCTGCGACCTCAGTAAAGCATACATGGCCACGGAACCCTCTCGGGAATGGTTCCTGTAACGGTGAATCGTGCTGGCTGTAGTTTCTAGGTCATTGGGCAGCTGAACCACTAAAGGTCGCGAGAACAACTAATCCGTGGGTCGAACGAGCCCCTTACATTGTGTTGTTCGAGCAATGGCTTTTTAAATTGTGAATCATGTTACCATCATATAATGAGCCTAGTCAGTCACTGAAGCCGTGAATCATGAAGGCGGCGCTAGCACTAGCCAACGCTTTTAATATGGAATGCATCGATCGGTCTCAGTTAGCAACGGCAATAAAGACAAATTTTACGTTTGATGGTCAAAATTACCGTTTGACTTTGACTGCGGGGAGGTAAATTTCGCAAATGCCTGTTCGTCAAGTAATGTTTAGCCGATAAAAACAAAATTAGGATAACCTTCAAATTACATCGAATTGGGAAAGTGAAGGGAAACGTGGAATCTTGAGTTCAGCTGAAAAAGTGTCCGTGTAAATCCTACAGCATAAAATTTTCAAAATCATTATTTGATCTCTCTAGTGGTGCGGTAGGTCTATTAGCATCTGCGCCACCTTCGTCTGCTTTTTACTCTTTCCTTCCTAATGCATAGATAGCATCCTCATCAGTTGTCCTTTTTTCGTTCCCGAAAATTCCCTGTCTAATTATCTACTCACTAAAAAGGAAGTAAAAGATTGATGACTCAGGTTTTGTATTTTAAATGGGAAAGGTTTTACTTCGAATCGGAATTAGGAGTGTTAAATGGATCAGCAAGTTGTGGAAAAGATCGACCTAAAGAAATACAAACCACCTAGAGTCCTCATTCTTGTCTTTTTTTAACAACGGAGGGTGAAATTTATATTGATTCATGCATCGATCATCCACACGCCCATACTTTATGAATATACTATATTCAGTAAATGATCTTTTTTCATTGCTTGTTATAGGGGGACATTTATACATGAATACATAATGCAAAAAGAACATCTTAAATTTATGCCACAGGAATACCTTTGTGTCATCCACGAGGCCTACGTTGTACGACTATAGTAACTCGTTTCACCTCCTCCATACGTGTACTCTTCTCTTAGGGCATCACCTTGTAAACCTGTTTTCCCGTCAAGGCAAATACATTTAAAGTTATGCATAGTATTATATATTATTATATTTCAATATCGTGAGTGATAGTTAAACAAGATTAAGCACCATCAAACTGCACTGTCGTAGTGAAAAATTGACTCGATAAAATAGTTCCGACGAATTGGAAGGCGCATGTCCATTGTTTGGGCTCCACGATCACTTGACGACTTCTAGTGGAATTTGCTGCATGAAGAGAAAACTGTATCCTTCAAAACAGAAAATAATGAATGAACAGACGGAGAGTACTGGAACTGCTTGCAATGAGATTTCATCATCCACGTTGAACTCACTGAAGAAAAATGCAATGAAGGGAGTAAAGACTTATTTGGTGCGAGGTCTTTCAGGTGCTTCACAAGGTGGAATGACAATAATTTGTTTTTATGTTTGATCCTATACGTCATGGAAACCTTTTCCGTGGTCTTGTGCATGGTGACGACGATATCCTTTATTATTATTATTATTCTATCACGCAGGTGGCTGTGCCTATTATAAAAGGTCAAAAACGAATGCCAAGTTTTACATAGGCACCATCTGCCAACGCTTCCAAGGCCTCATTATGGTCGGGGGTGGGTGTCTCCGGCTTTGGCTGGTCACCCCTCCCTTGAATCTCGAAAAATGCCCCATTACGACCAAGCGTCTCAAAACGCCTCTGGTTAGGAAGCCCTACTCACTGCATTCTTGTGGCGGCGGCTTGTCCCCACCGAAATAAGAGGACGAAAAGCCAACATCCAGGTCGGTGAACCACAGGCAGTTCACCCAGGGGATTTGGCCAAAATCCCTGACTCCAAATCAAACAAGATGTGTGCGAAACACACTCACACATAGCTTCCTGGTCTTGGTAGCGGTCATCTGCTCG